CATTTTGAAGTAAAACAATAAAAATAGACAAAGCAATGAACTCAATGACACTGAAATTCAAAAAGATTCAGAACAATCCGGAATAGGACCTAGTCTATTCTGTTACTTCCCTTTACACACTGCCTTGTTTATTCCCAGGAAAAGTCAGTAAAACTCGAGTTCACTGTGTAAGTCCTTCAACCAGCAGCAGCCATTCGGTTTACCTGCATGTCAGTAAAGTTAGGTGCCGACTGGGTTCTCTGCAGAATTTCCAAATTTTGAAGGAGTTTGCTCAATTCCACAAGGTTGGACTGGCAATGGGCAAGATCTAATGGAATCAGAAACAGAAATATGTTAGCATTCCTCTGGGTGGCAGTGGAGGTGGTCGTCAAAAAGGAATCCATCCAGAGATGGCCAATACGATTCGGTGACTCCACAGTGATGCAGCGATATTGGCCAATGAAGCAGAACAGGTCCTTTTCTGGCTTAAAACATTGGATAGAGAGCTATTAAAAATCTAAATCAAATGATGTGTGCTCCCTTCCCGCGAGCCTGGGTCTAAGCCATGCAAACAGACTCTCATCTTCCTCCCCCAGAGCGACGGAAGGGTTTGGATCAATGCTTATCACAGTGCACCACCTTTAATATGTAAAGCTAAACACTGTCAAGAACATGGAGTATTTGTGCTATGTAGACCGTTATTACACATTTAGAACATGCCTCCTGGCATGTGTGCTCTCATGAGCAGAGTGCAATAGGCCAGGGCTACACATCTCTGCTAAATGATACATTTTATAATTATGATCGCTCTTATCTTTTGTGGTCCATTGGTAAAAATTTCATGTCTATTATCCTTGCTCATCATTGCATTTCAAAAATCTGAGTGGTTCCTTACATATCCAGCAAAACATGACCAAAGATTAATTAGATGAGGCCAATCAACATACCGTATATACTCGTGTATACAGCCGAGGTTTTCAGCACTTTTTAATGCAGTTTTTGTGGTGAAATTAGGTGACTTGGCTGATATTCGGGTCAGCTTATACTCAAGTATATGCGGTAGATAGTTACAGCTGGGGATTTTAGGTGTAGGTTTGTGTGTGGAGTTGTTGAAGCATTTCATAATTGTATTAACTGTTTCATCTTACAGGACAGAAATATAAATTTGTAAATCAGTTGCCAAAATTCCTACGTCAACTTCATTTTCTATCAAATTAAAGGGAGTATTTGGTCCCATGTCTAGAAAACCAGAAAAAGAAATTCCTCCATGAACATTTTAATCGACACAATTAAAAAAATTAATTGAATAGCAAATGAAATGGGAAGGTGAGTGTTCGGGGACTTTAAGGTGGCGCTCAGAATCACCAGGCCGCTGCTCTGAGCAGCCCCTGATGGAGCCCCTGGTATTGCTACCGACTGTGGCTCAGCTCCAACTCGTGACGACATCTGCACACCAGAGCAAGACGTTGCGCAGCACTGCACCCTCTGTGCCACCACTAGTGTGTTGGAGTCCATCACTGCTGGCAGTGCCAGGACAGAGATCGTCCCAAGTCCGTCCTCCCACACTCTCGCTGGCCCTCGCCCTCAGCAAACGTGAGGTCCGCCTCTGGTATCCATTCCTCCTGCTGAGCTACCCGGGCCCGGGAGCCAGACACTGATCTGTTGCCGCCCCTATGCTTTTCTTGGCTCAATTTCCGGAAGTCAATTTCCTGACCCAGTTTTTTCTTCTTAGTCTACAAATTTTGGAAATGGTGACCCTAGTTAAATACTGACCTTATTGGAATTCAGATTTGAAATACGAATGGTGTAACGTCAACATTTCAAGCACCCTCCGTTCCTCTCCTGCCTTTTTATTCTACCAGAGTGAAAAGAGAACTTTTCGAATGAACTTTATTCAAGGCAAAGGACCCCAAACTAAGAGTCGGTAGACATCCATCTGCTCTCTGTCTGTCAAGCAGTGACAGGGGTACTGACCTTACCTACCTTCCTAATTAGGAGCCCTGGTGGCATCGTGGGCACAAGGCTGCCAATTACAATGTCAGCAGTTCAAAGACACCATGGGAGAAAGACAAGGCTTTCTACTTGCATGAAGAGTTAGTCTCCAGAACCCGAAGGGGCAGTTCTACCTTGTTCTATGCGGTCACTATGTCCTATAGGGGATCTACTCCATGGCAGTGAACTCGGAGACTCTCCTGATTTAAGAGTAGTCACTGAGAGGGTGGAAGAGCCATTGTCTGGTTCTCTGGAAACCAGAAACGGAGTGTAAACATATGGACCCTGCTCAATCTAACGACGCTGCAAGATTCGTGCCTCGGAACAGGACACACCACTGCTCACCACTTTTATCGTATGAAACGTGGAATTAATACAATTCTTGGCAGGATTTTCCTGGTTGTCCTGAGGGTTTGGCTGTATGTAAGGAATACAAAGATTTACCTACAGCAATAAAAATCTCTGGAGTTCCAGTAAATTAAGATGAAAATCTAATTTTAAGTTCTGAATGATAACAAAAATTATGCAAAGAAAGAATGACCTAGATCTTTCCCATAATAGTTAAAAATCAGAAACTTAAATACCAAACAGTGCACGCATCTCTCAACATGCCTGCCTTGTCCCCAAAGAAACATACAACCCAGCTAAAGAATGATTAAATCAGTGGTACTAATCCAGAGTCACCCAAGCGTTCAGCTAAGTACAACTGATTGGGAGGAAACTGTGTTCCCAACACAATTTTGAGCACAAGGAGCAGAGCAATCAGATGAGATTCATGGAGTTAACATTCTGGTGAAAGAAAAAAAATGTCCTACTGAAATTAAAAAAAAATCTGTCTACCCAGCTACATTGAAGCCACTTTAAAATACAAAGTTTTAAGGCTGTGTATATAAAAGGGCAAACATCTCTGCGTTCCAGGCAATCACACAGATGACTTCAGGACTTCAGCTAATGAAAGTTCACAGCTCTGATTAGCGAGGCCGTTATACGTGTCCATAATGCGACCAACCGCAATCGAGTGAGCAAAGGACTGGCAGATTAAAAAAAAAAGTGCCCCAAGAGTTTAGCAAAGGATAGTGTGAGGTCATCAGATCATCCTCCCAGGAGAGTGGAATTACTCCAGGTCTGGAAGACGGATGGGAGAGATTCAGCAGAGCAGCCAGGTGGATGGAGAAGGGCAGAGAGGGCACTGTTGGGTGGTAAGAAACACCCGCGCAAGGACAGCGGGATGGGGATGCGTAAGTGTGTTCAAGAGAGAGAGCAGCCAAGTTTAGTTTGGACTCTTGCAGGGCCCCATGGAAGGCAAGTTCAGAAGAAGAATAAATAGAGCCCCGAGCTAAAAGCCTGGATGCTAAGTGCTGGGCTAAGCAGTTTAAACTAAAACCCTAGAGCAATGGGGAACCAAGGATGGGTTGTTTTTATGGGCATAAGATCTATTTTAAGAAATATCAATCCTGAGGGAGCATGATACAGTGGGAAAGAATTGGCTTTGGGGTTAAATTGGCTTTGGCTGCAGCCCCAGTGGCTCCACTTTGGCAGCTCGTGACCTGGGCCCAATTCCTTAACCTCCATGCACTCGACTTTCCTCCCCGGCCAAGTGTGGACTAATGGCAATACTGCACTAAGTCCTGGAGGAGAACTGAAAGGCAGGACATAGGGCCTAGGTAGAGAAGACAGCACAGGACGTGCAGGAGCTCCTCCCAGACTGAGAGAGCGTCCGGGAGTCTTTAGCAGCCCAGAGGGAGAGGTGTGAGTCAACGTCCATGGCTACTCATTGGACCAGACGGCAGGGCGATGGTCCCAGTGGGTGGTCTCAATCTTTTCAGCAACAGAACTGGAGTGGAAGGCTACTGAATTTACAGGTTATAAGAGAGCCAAATCAACTTAGAACCACTTGCAGAGGTCTAGTGAAATGATGTTTGGCTTCAACCGTTGACCCCCGAGTTGACCCTCGAGTAACACGGGTTTTGATCCTCAAGTAACACGGGTTTGAATCTCAAATTGATAAAATGAAGGGCAGTATAGGCAGTATGTTACAAGGCGACCCTGGGTGAATTTTTAAAAATTATCTTGATAATATGTTGAGCCCAACTTCATTGGGGCACATTGCAAATATGACATTTCACCATTCTCTGGACATACCAGTTCAGTGACATCCATCGTATCCATTGTGCTGTCCTGCCACCCTGATCAAGTCTCACAGGATGCCATCACCCTCCCCTGACACTTTCCTCTTTTATAAGATTCTTGTGAAAGTAAAGTCATCTGATAATTTTGAGTCCCTACTTAAATTTAAATAAACAATTTATTTCAGATTTTATGGACTCTAGGCTTTTTGGAGACACTCTGAATCACCTTTAAACCATTAACCAAAAAGTCTTTGTAGATCCAAATAACAGGTTAGCCTGACTTGCAAAACATGTCTGCCTTGAGCACTGTGCTCCTTCAAGATCTTTCTACATGAGAACAAACGGACAGTAGCACGTTGGAAGATGCCATGGGAAACTTAGGGGACTGTGAGTTTGTGCTGATGAGGGAGGTCTAAGAAAAGGAAGGTGGGAACGGTTACACCACTCCAAGAATGCACTCAGTGTCTCTGAAGGGCACCTGCAGACACTGTTGAATTGATGTGGGTTTTGCCATCGGTAAAACTACACTCCCTGCTATCGAGTTCATGCGACCCAACACGACTGAGTAGGGTAGAACTGCCGCTGTGAGTTTCTGAGAGTGTAATTCTTTACAGAGTACAAACCCCCGTCTCCCTCCCAAGGTGCAGCTGGTGGTTTTGAATTGCTGACCTTGGGGTCAGCAGCTCAATGGATAACCACCAGGCCACCAGGGCTCCGGATTGCATTGTAGAGCCTCAACAATACTAACAACAAACAAGAGAGCAACCAAGGAGGCAGGAGTAGAAGGAACCCAGGGAGGAGGGCAGAGGCAGGGGAGAAGCAAGGCATTGTGGGCTGAAGGCAGCACTCAGTCATCATGTGATTGCCCCAGGGTGCTGGTGTGGAGGACAGCGGGGACTAGTCATGAGATGAGGTGTGTGGGTGGAAGTCAGGGTAAAGGTAAAACCCAGGGTGAGCCTGTGAGCCTTCTGAGTCAGAAGATGGAGATGGATCTAGTCTTCAATTACGTAGCTCTCTTTTTTTTTTGTTTGCACTTTGTCACCGGCTACCCTGGGGCAGGACTAACCTTCTGCACACCTGTCCATTTCTTCTGAGTCCTGAAGCCAGGCTGCCACTTTACTCGGGCCTGTCGTACAGGTGGCAGGGAGGCTATTGCTGCACGGCAAAGGCGGTTGCCATGACAAACTGCTGGGCTGCACCTGCAACACACTCAGGATGGAGCAGATGGTTAGGTAAGCAGAAGCAGGACATAGGTCAACAACTGTCACAACATGCGACGATTCTCACTAAAACATTAACAAAGTTAGGGCCTGCTCAGGATATGGGAGACTCCTCTTGGCTAAGTGTGGCATGGTGTGCGTGGTTGAGCCAAATTTCAAAACCCCAGGAGCATTAAGGAATATCTTTAAAGTAAAAACACTGTCATGAGCTGCTATGTCTTCCAGTCAATGAAGGGGCGCTCGAGTATTGTCCCTCCGACTCACCAAATCAGATCCTAAAGTTATCCTGTAAATTTTGGTTTTTTAAAAGTTTTATAGTTCTATTGATATAAAATTCACATATCATAAGCTTCCACAGTCGCTTTTAAAAAGAGTGGTGTCTACACCAGCACAATCCATTCTAGTGCTCCCTCCCCCTTCCCGCTGTCATTGTTTGCTCCCCAATTCCACTTACCCTCGCTCCCCCATCCACTAGAAACCATTGCATCAGTTATTGTCCCTGTGCACCCACTCCTTCTGTGTTTCCTAAACTGAAAAATTATCCAGTAAGTTTCTTAATTAATGATTGAAGGCTTTTTTATCCTCTCGGAACCCATACACCATCAGCTCAACATCTCACCAACCCTGGGAGATTCCTAAGTAGATTATTCACCAGCAAGCAATCTTGCAATTCTTGAACCGCATATTCGAATTGATACTATCTTAAAAGTGACATGACTATTATCTGCAGCTGGCAGCATGTGCATTAGAGGTCTTAGGTGAGAGAACGGAAGCTAATGTTAATGAAGCACTAAATACTCAATGCAAAAAGAGACACTGCCCAAGAAGCTAGGGCAACTTTAAAACTTTGTATTTGATTTTAATATTCAATTACAACTGATAGTGACTCTTCTAAATTATTATGATGTGAAGGGTGCATATGCTTAGCAAACCCAGACTTATTTATTACTCTCCCGGGGCCCCAAACCAATTAACGTTCAGGGGTCTCATAATTTGATATTTCGGATGCAGGCAAAGTGATACAAAGCTCTTCCTAGTCTTTACTGCATTTTGATCAATGTAATAGAAACCTTGCACTGGGCTAAATCTTAGAGGCACATCATTAGGTCCCTAGCACAATAGATCTTTCGTGAAAACCAGAGTCGAACAGCTCTGTTATTTCAAGGCAAACAGAGGATTGGGTTTCAGTTCTACATTCTCAGATGGCACCCAAGTGTTTAATTCATAACACCAGCAATGAAAAGAATCTATCTTTTATCAATACTCTGGTGTCAAAGACGCAGGGCGGGGCGGGGCTAATCCAATAATTAAACATTTGTACTTATAAAAGGTCCATCTGAGATACAGCTCTCATTTAATTTGGACTCACTCTGGAAATTTAATCGGGTTCTCTGCTGCAGAGAAAAATGGGGGTAATCTTGGGCCTGTGAGATGGGTTGAAGGGCCTCTCTTCTTTCTGTCTCCTGTCATTGCTGGTTCAATCCTTTCAAGTCAAAGTGCTTTGCATGAAGGTGAGCAAAATCGGATCTCTAGGAGGAAGATCTTTGAGCAGGCACAGGTTAGCCAGGCTGGCCACCAGAATGAAGCAATACACGCATAAGGTTTGAGAACCGTGTGAAATAATAATTAAGGGAATTTAACAAAAAGCACTTGAATGATCTCCATTAAAGATGCCCTGGTGGCGTAGTGAGGTAAACGTTAGTCTGTTAATGGAAAGATCAGTGGTTCAAACTCACAAGCCCCACCTCCGGAGGAAGATGAGGCAGTCTGCTTCTGTGAAAATTGCCTCAGGAACCCTGTGGAAGAGAGCAGTTCTACTCTGCCCTGTGGGGTTGCTAGGAGCCAGAATCAACTTGAGACACCAGGGGGTAATGTCCAGAGATTCCAGTAACCTCGTTTATGAGCACCTACTGCATGAGCTTTTCCAGTGTTCTGCAAAGGAAGCCTGCATGTGTGCATTGCATTCAGTGCTGGGCAAACCAACCGAGAGGAGCAGACTCTGCGTTGACACGTTCTTGAACTCAGGTCCTAGAGCCTTTCACCTTCATTTCAGGTGCCAAGTATGAAGCTGGAGCACCTTTGGGTGCAACATGGCACCATTTGAACAGCCTTACTTACTGCAGGAGAACACAGCTGTCCCCTAGCCTGCTGCCATAACCTTGACTTTTGAGCAGGTGCCGTCTCTAGTGCGACAGCACCATGAACTCTCATCACAGCTGAAAGGACGACGCCAGCCTCCTTAAGTTAGTCTGCCACGAGTCTGGAAACAGAGGCGTGGGTTCAGATTCTGATTGCTCTTTAATGGCTGTGCCACTTCCGAACCAACAAGCATTCATTGTCTCTGAGTTCAGAGATGAGTGGTGTCAAGCGCCCAACAACAAACATGGTCACTACGTAGTAGTCCCACGGGCTTCTATGCATATGACTGTCCTATGTTTAGGCGGACTCACATTAACTTCACAGGCAAATTCACTGTCTTGCTCTGGGTCATGGGTACGTCATAACCCAAGCCAGAAAAGCCAGTGTCCTTAGCAAAAAACCCCCAAACTTTAGGGTCTTCTGCTCTTTATCATCACCCAGGGAGGAACCTGATTTCTGGAGGCTGAGTACAGCCTAATTCTTTCCTTCATGGTCACTGTGGGGCTTCTAAGAGTGACCCTTTGGACAGAGTAGAACGACCCCTGTGGGTTTCTGAGACTGTAAATATTTTCAAGAGGAGCAAGCCTCATCTTTCTCTTGAGGAGTGGCTGGTGGTTTTGAACTGCTGGTCTTGAGGCTAGCAGCCCACTGTGGAACCCACACCACCACCAGGTCTATAGAGCCACATACAATTACACAGAGGAAGGGAAAACAACCACCGATTCTCTTGGTGACCCATATTTCTGCCTCATCCATTCTTGTGGTTCACTGTGATGGCCAATGTCACCACTGGTTTCTGAGTGTTTAGTTTACAAATAAGTCCTCCCTTCCTTTCTGGTTTTCCAAAGGAGACTCCATTGGTTTTTTTTTATATTTTCCACAAAAACATCCACGGAGCAAAGCCGTACCTTTCCATCCACAACGGAGACATTAGTAGCTGGTGAGGATTCAGCTGTGGAGGTTGAAGGGAATATATGAAAACTAGCATCTCGCGGGGACCTCACAATTTCATTCTGACGATACAATCGGTGGTGGCGCAATTTCGAGACCCAGGCATCAAACCAGTCCTGGGATTTTACCTAAAACAAGGAGAAAGCAATGGGGAAACCCGTTTCGCGGTTACCATGGACGGCACCTGCAGTCCCCCGCTAAGAGCAGAGCCTTGGAACACGCTTTCACCTTCAAGTGATAGATGTGCTCTTCCGTGTCGAGGTCTATTCGCCGAGCCTTCTTTTTAATCGACATGACCGAGAGGCCGACATCAATGCTCCCGTGGACCTTCCCCTTTTGAATCTGCAATCAGGAGACGAGTCAATAGACTGGAGGGGCATATCATGACAGGTGCTTCTGTGGTTAATTTACGTGACCTCAATGCAACTGTTCATATCGCCGTGGGAATGAGAATGGGATGTCTCCTCTAAGAAGGGGCTGGACCCGGCTACGGCTCTCTTCCTCTGAGGACGGTGGAAGTTGCAGCAACTTCACAGCAATTGCAATAAAGAAGCCTGTTCATCTCTCATTCCTACCTTTGGCACAGCCTACAGTCGCAATTCTTCATCATTATAGAGCACACGGTTTAGACGCCCCCCAAAGACATCTTTAGTGGTTCCTAAAAGAACAGTGGGAAATCTTTGACCCCGGCCCAATCCAGAACATCTTTGAGTAACCAACTGGCAACAGCTGCTGGGGCAGACGGAGCAGCTGGGACGCAAGAGCCCGGAGCAGCAGGCTCCAGCTTGTGACTGTCCCCTTGTGGGTCAAGGACACACAGCTGATTCAAAGAACGCGGTGGGGACAAAGCCTACACCTGAGTCCTCCGTTTTCTCCCCTGCGACCCAGCGATAACAAGGACGGCGGTTTCTAGTTGTGCAGGCAGGCAACTACTTACTATATGCAAGAGTTTGGAATAACTTTAGTGTTGGGATTCCCAAGAAACGGGGATGCAGGAACTAGACATAACGTTCAAGAGGCAGGTTTTAGGACAAGCAGCAAAGATCGCTCTAAGTCTCACAAGCAAACACACAGAAAAGCATGCAAAGCACGTGCAGAGAGCAGCCCCTGGGGTTTCTCTTCCACGGAGAAAGGGCCGTCCGACCAGTGCCTCACTTTCAGGGTTTGCACTTCTGTTTTCGGTGTCACAGGTCACAATCGTTCAAATAAACCTTCATTTAATTTTCTGGAACTCAGTATGAACTCTTCTCTAGTTTGAGACTGTGCACTAGGTTCGACTACATGCATACAACACGCATGGCACGGAGCATGGCGGGTAGCTTGTTACATGTTACAGGCAGAGGAATGCACAAAGCTGGTAACTACAGCATAAGGCTTGCATAAGGATGGTATTTACTCACTTCAAGCAGAATTCTAAATCAGTTTCTGAAAAACGTCCTGCGTGCTACTTACATCAAGTGGTGCCTTTGAATACTTTAGCATTCCATTATCCAGGACAAAAAAGCGCTGCAAGAACCAAACAGCCCATGGTTACTGCCTGTCTTCTGAATTATGGAAAACATTCACATTGTGGGTGTAACGCCCCTTGGCATCCAGTCATCAATATGTCTGATCATTGAAATGTACTTGTCTCCAGTGCACCTGGGCACTGTCAGTCACACTAAGCGGTAAGGAGACCAGCGTGTGTTCCCACATGTTAACCCACTAGGGCTCTTTGTTATATAGAGTTCAATGGGGAAGCAGCCTTTAAACTGTGGGTTTTCTCAACAGGGAGGATGTCTTAAGGCCTGCGATTGAGACCTTCTCAATGAACCGAGTTGGGATATTTTTGAAACTGAGAACCATGAGGAGAGAAAAGTAAAAATTAAATGCCTTGCTTCCTGGACATGTTTAGGAAGAACGAGGGGATTGGGTCTCCACATCAACCTGTGAGAAAGCCTGTCTGGATGGGGGTCTTTGCCCTGGGATGGACTCCCGACCTTCCCCTGGACACGATGGCTAATGCCTGGACATGCTCGGGTCTGTTACCAAAATGGAATTGTCTGGACAATTTAAGGAGTGGCATTAGGAATAAGCTCACAGCTCCATGTAGCAAAATGCTTTCATTTCACTACTAGCAAGCAATCAAAAATTACTTCTGAAATACATTAAGGATTTAAAATATATATGCACATATATATATTTACATATTTGGCAACTTTTGTCTCCACCAAGGTGCTCCTGGTCAAACAGATGTCACCGTGTTTGTTCAGTATACACTCCGGAACTCTGCTGTGATGTCCCTCCACTGCACAACTCAAAGGAGAACCACAGCTCCCAGGACCAACCCAACACAAGGCCTGACGCTCCCCTCTATTGTGCACCGATATTGGGAGAGTCCCTAGTGTCGGGACATCCTAATGCTGGAAAGCTTTGATCTGGTACAGACACCGAGCTGACCCAAGTGCGAGCACACGCTGCTGGTGCAGAGCCAGCCCTTCTATTCCTGTGCTACAGGTACTGGGTGATAACAAGGTAGCACAAGAAGAAAGAATCGCTACAGTTAACAAAATTACTTGATCATGCAACTGCCCAGGGCTTGAGCAATCACCCTTGCTGAGGATTAAATAAATGTATGGCAGTATTACACCAAAAAACAAAAGCCCCAAAGCAAACCAGACTCAATGTCGACTCATAGCAACCCTTTAGAACAGGGTAGAGCTGTTCCTGTGGGTTTCTGAGACTGTAATTCTTGACGGGAGTAGAGAACCCTGTCTTTCTCCTGTGGACTGGCTGGTGGTTCCCAACTGCTGACCTTCCACTGAGTAGCCCGGCCCGTAACCACTCCGCAGCCGGGGCTGCTGAGCAGCACCAGCATGACAGGCCTGGGGAAAAGGCCAGGCAAGGTGATGTTTCTCCTGTTGGTTGCCACCCCGCAGTTCAGCCTCACGGTGAGCCAGAGGTGCAGAGCAAAGCTTCTTTGCAGGGTTTCAAAGCTGTGATCTTTTCAAAGCAGATCGGCAGGTCTGTCTTCTGAGGCACCTCTGGGTGGGTTAGAACTACCAATCTTCTGGCCAGTAGTGGAATGCTTAGCTGGTTGCACCACACAGGCAATCCCAATGTGTGGGATAAGAAACTGTTCTGGCTCCGAGTGACGCTATAGGGCAGAGTAGAAGTTTCCATGGGTTTCTCAGGCTAAATTGTTCTGGGTGCAGAAAGCCTCATCTTTCTCCCAGGGAGCTGCTGGTCGGCTCAAACTGCTGACCTTGCAGCTAGCAGTCCAATCTATCACCCACGACACCACCAGGGCTCTGTGTGTGCAAGGGATGGCTCCTATGATGTATGTAGCAAAATCGTTATAGTTGCAATCCCGAAAGAGTGGCTGCGAACCTCTGCCGGTTTTGGAGAGCGCTACGTTATACCTAAGGATTCACACTAAGCGTGTTCCTCGGACCTTCCCCTGGTTTCCTCATTTCCACCAAAGCACCTTCGCAGAGAGAGTCCACAGAATGGTTGTGGGGTAAAAAAATTAGCCTGGCCCTGGATTTGAGAAATTGCAAATTGGGAAGGTCAGAGTTAAAGGAAAACGTGATCCCAGGAAAGAGAATGGTCAGGTGGGCAAAATGGGAGGAGGAACAAAATGGAAAGAGATTCCTGGCTCTGGCATAACATGATGGGCTCAGGAGAGGCAGCTTCAGACTGGGGAGAAAGCATCTTAGTCCGAAGCTGCAGGGATGATTTCATTCAGCCTGAGCCGCAGAGAAATGAGGCAGCATTCCCCATCTGGTTACTTTGAGGCCTTTCCCCTTAAAGAACCACAAAAAGCATGTCCTCAGGGAAGTTCCCCTGCATGGCCACCTACCCGAGTGTCCAGTACAGGGCCCATGTGGAAAACAGAGGAGATGTTCTGGCGGTTTCATAGGCGAGGCTGCGCGGTCCCTTGAAGGGTTTATACTGGGGGGGGAGGGGGGCGGCGGGGGGCGGGACATTTTCTTGTTGTTTGCTACTATCAAGTGAATCCCCAACATGCATGGAAAAAGGAACTGCCACTCTCACAACTGGTTGTGGATCAGACCATTGTTAACCTCAAGGCTTTTAACTGGCTGATTTTTTTTTTAAACATTGTATTAGGGGCTCATACAACTCTTATCACAATCCATACACACATCAATTGTGTAAAGCACATTTGTACTTCATTCTCAAAACATTTTCTCT